TCTGTGGTTGTGGCAGAACAGACAGACAGTTCAGGGCAGACGAACAGTTCATAAATGGCCTCCTTGGCCGTTTAGTCTATTAAATCCTCTGAGTCCAGCTGCAGCTCACCCTCAGCGGTGGAACAGTGGGCAGGGCTTTCCTCCGCGCCCTCGCTCTCCACTGTATAATCCTCTATGGTGGGCATTGTTGCCGGCTTACGCACCAGACATTCCATGAGGCTCCGGCTCAGGGGCGATCCTCAGCTCTGTCGCTCCATTAGTCGATGGCTCGTCGGTTGCGGCGGGCTCTGGCTCTCCATCAGCGGTGGGCTCGGGCATGCGCTTGCGCATCGGGGAGATGGTGGGCTGGGCTCTGGGTCGGGAGTGGCACTGGTGATTCATTCCTGGGAACCGGCGGGGAACAGAGATCCATTTCTCACCAGTGTCCACTCCACAAAGGCGGCGAATTCAGCTCGAGGGCCATCTTCAGACGACGGTGCTCTGCACGCGGTGTTGAGGCTGGCATCATAAAACGCGCAGAGCGCGTCGTCCAGATAGGTGGTGAGATGGGCCACAGCTAGAAACAGTCTGGTATGACCCTCGAGCGAATTTTCCCCCTGCTCCAGCAGGAGGAGGATGAATTCGGGGTGAAGGAGGGGATCCATAGGGCACACAACGGAAACTAAAAACTGAGTAAAAAGAGAAACAAAACGGAGGGTACAAACGGAGGTAACTGTATCGGTCGGGTCTTCTGTCACAATTCATTCGGGGAGCAAGGAACGAGGAAACGAGGAGTACTTGAATAACACAGTCTTTAATAATCCAAAGGAAAATCGAGAACATTCAACAAGTAGACCCGACCAACAAAAACTGAAAGGACTAGGGCTTTTAAAGGCAGGATAATTGGGGAGAACAAGACACACCTGGAATCAAATTAACACAATCAACATGAGGAAGAAACGGGGTCACAGGGGCATAAACACACACAGAATAGTCCATAATCCTGACACAAGTACGTTCTTTATAGGTACACTATAATTACAGAAACGTACACCGTAAATTCAGTATACTTACGTAGTTCTTTGCGGGTAGTAATCTAAAGCGTTACCTAATATAGATGTATGTAGTTTTACGTCTTACTTCTTAACATTGCAATAAAAATAAAAAATAATAATCACATATCATATTATAAAAGTGGTATACAAGATAAATGGGACAAGATGATAGGTTCTATGATGCCTTTACTGTATATGGGGTTTCTGGAATATTTAATATCTTGTGAAAAGTGAAAAGTCAAGGTAAATATGTCAGCAAATTTCAAGAATGACTCATGTATGTTGCAAAACATGTAATGGGAAGGTCAGGTATATAAACCCCCAAGAGTTGGTGAGGCAGCCCGATTCAGAAATGGCTTTTATCTGGATTCCGTCATGCATTGCTTTCATTGGAACAGCCTATGGTATATAGTGTTTTTTTCCTCTGTAAAATAGATAAAAAATTTGAATGAAAGTGTAAGTTCGGTACATACCAGACAAGGGCAGAAGAACATGCTTATATTTACATGTAAATTCTATATATATGTATTCTCCAGGCTGTGGCGTTCCTGCCATCCCTCCTGTTATCACTGGCTACTCCAGAATTGTGAATGGTGAGGAGGCAGTGACACATTCTTGGCCCTGGCAGGTGTCTCTGCAGGTACAGACATCTTCATTAACAAATGACATACAGATAATATAAAGAAATTTAACAAAACAAACATCTAGGCTTAAAAAAATCCATGAAAAAAAAATCTATTGTCTCATTTAAGAACTCCACTGGCTTCCACTTCTGCGGTGGCTCTCTGATCAATGAGTGGTAGGCTGTGACTGCTGCTCACTGCAATGTCAGGTAAGGCAGTATTAAAGAATAAACTATAATTATTATTATTAATAATAATATTAGTATTCATATTAGTATTAGTATTATTTACCAACTATAATTTCAAAACAGGTCTCTTCAGAATTCTGTGCAATTCTGAAAGTAAAAAAGTCAAATATTTTTATTAGGACCTCTCACTGTGTCATCCTGGGTGAGCATGATCGTTCCTCCAATGCAGAGCCCATTCAGACCATGACTATTGGCAAGGTGTGTACACCTTTAATATATTCTGTATCATATCTAAACCACTGAGACAATGTTTTAACAGAGAGATTACTGCAGAGAATGCTGATGTGTCTGTATCTTCTTCACAAAGGTTTTCAAGCACCCTAACTACAACAGCTTCACCATCAATAACGACATCCTCCTGATCAAGCTGGCCACTCCCGCTCAGCTCAACACTCACGTGTCTCCTGTGTGTCTCGCTGAAACCAACGACAACTTCCCTGGAGGCATGAAGTGTGTGACCTCTGGATGGGGCCTGACCAAGTACAATGGTAGATTTTATTATAGAATTTGTCCCTGTTCCCTCTCCTAGTTTATCTTCTATGTTGAAACATTTCAAAATGTACCTTCCAATCTGTGTTTTCAGCACCTGATACCCCTGCCCTGCTCCAGCAGGCTGCTCTGCCTCTGCTGACCAATGATGACTGCAAGCGTTTCTGGGGAACCAACATCACTGATCTGATGATCTGTGCTGGAGCATCTGGTGCTTCTTCTTGCATGGTGAATTTCTATTGATTTTGCAGTTTACCTCTCTATTTGTTCTTGAAGTTCTTGAAGGTTGTACAGATCTGACTAACTTTTGTGTGCTTTAGGGTGATTCTGGCGGTCCTCTGGTCTGTGAGAAGAATGGAGTCTGGACTCTGGTTGGTATCGTGTCTTGGGGAAGCAGCACCTGCTCAACCAGTTCACCTGGCGTGTACGCCCGTGTCACCAAACTCCGTGCCTGGGTTGACCAGACCATTGCTGCAAACTAAAGAATAATGTTTATACTGTAGTTCTTGGTCATGATGGTTATCAATAAAGTTTTATTTTGAGAAAACAAAAACTTCTTGATTGTTCTTGTGTAGTAAAAATGTTTCTAACTTAAGTCAGAGTAATTTACAGTGGACAATGGACATTCAATATGTTTGAGTGATTTAATCTTATTGCATCATTTTAATAACTACAAATCAATCATAAAATTATTTTTGAAAATAATTGTGAAATTTTAAAATAAAATAATAGTGATATAAAGCAGGCAATTATGGCTAGCATGTCTGGAGCACTTTGTGAACATTAATGAACTGAAAAAAATTGACAGTGGAAACTAAAATATTATATAAATATCATTTATTTGCGTGTATGTAATGTATACTCACACATGTAAGGGCATAAAAAAGAAAGACCAAAAAAAACAAACAAATAATGATATTAATTCATATTAACTTTGACCTGGCCATTCATTTTTAATCTAAAATGGAATTATATATAAAAAGTAACTTTTTGTTTTCTATATATCAATTATGATAACATAAGGCTTGTAAGTCTTTTTATAAATACACTGTTATTGCTTTAAAGCACATAATATTTTGTAAATGTTACTAAATTACACAGTATAAGCACTCTTACAACTTTAAATACAATATCTTTGGACAGCTCCAAAACTGACACTTGATCATAGAGGTGCTACAATTTTGTTACGCAATTATGAATATAAAAGCACAATGAAGCCATTTATACACAACTGTTAATCTAATAAATCTTAAAACATTGAAAAAAAAGGATAATATAATTGTATTCACAGTCTCTCCACTCTCCATTTCAATTTTCAACTTTTCAAAGCAATACTGGCAATATTGCATGCTTTCTTAGAATTAATTCCTAATGTCGCTGCTGCATTTCCATTCCATTTAAATCTCTGAATTAAAATGAGCACCACAGGAATAAATATACATTTGAAAATGAATACAACATGACTGTCGCAGTCTGCAGCGGGTGTGCCCAGGAGGGCCACCAGATGACTGTGTTCTGGGAGCACATGGCTTGTGTTGTGTTTGTCTGTCGCCATGTGCTCTCTCCTGTCTATTGTCTTGCCCCTCCCATCTTGTTACCTCGTTATAGTTTAAGTTGATCCACCTGTGTCTCCCTCGTTAGCCTCCTTATGCCCTTACATGTGAGTCTGAGTATACATTACATACACACAAATATATATATATATATATTTGTGTGTATGTAATGTATACTCAGACTCACATGTAAGGGCATAAAAAAGAAAGACAAAAAAACTAACAAAACAAAACTGATGATATTAATTCCTATTAACTTTGCCACCTGCCATTAATTTTTAATCTAAAATGGAATTATATATAAAAAGTAACTTTTTGTTTTCTGTATATCAATTATGATAACATAAGGCTTGTAAGTCTTTTTTATAAATACACTGTTATTGCTTTAAAGCACATAATATTTAGTAAATGTTACGAAATTACACAGTATAAGCACTCTTACAACTTTAAATACAATATCTTTGGACAGCTCCAAAACTGACACTTGATCATAGAGGTGCTACAATTTTGTTACGCAATTATGAATATAAAAGCACAATGAAGCCATTTATACACAACTGTTAATCTAATAAATCTTAAAACACTGAAAAAAAAGGATAATATAATTGTATTCACAGTCTCTCCACTCTCCATTTCAATTTCAACTTTTCAAAGCAATACTGGCAATATTGCATGCTTTCTTAGAATTAATTCCTAATGTCGCTGCTGCATTTCCATTCCATTTAAATCTCTGAATTAAAATGAGCACCACAGGAATAAATATACATTTGAAAATGAATACAAAATGACTAATGAATAAAAAAATAAATATATTCTACCAAGCTCAGTTCCTCTTTGAAATAAATGTCATAATATTTGCTATCCAGTACAAAGTATATTGGTTGCAGAATGCAAGGTTTGCAACTAATGTGATTATGCATATTTACAGTACATACAGCTGCACTAATGTACATGTAGGGAATAGGCTTCGTGAAGAGGTTTACTGAACCTGGGAATCAGTGCAGATGTGGACACACAGGCCTTGAAACAGAGAACACACCTTTATCAGTGTGAATGAAAATACAACCAATCGGGTCAGGGTTATTGCAGTAAACACGATGACTTTTGAAAAATATGTTAAGGTTGGGTTATACAATTTTGATTATTTAATTTTTTACAGAACCTCTCACCACGTCATCCTGGGTGAGCATGATCGCTCATCCAATGCTGAGGCCATTCAGACCATTAGTGTTGGAAAGGTGTGTAGACTCTCAATATCTATTATACTGAGCAGGGGGAGCCTCCATCCAAATTCACTACATTCATATATTGCAAAATCGTTTCATTGATTGATAAAAACTATACATAAAATGTGTATCTTTGACAGTCAGTCAGTGATGATCCTCACACAAAACATTCTTCATTCATTCAACATCTGTGAAAATATTCAAAATTACTATTCAGGATTACCTCAATCATTGTACCGAATTTCATGATTTTCCTATCTACAGTTCATAGGGCTGCCATAGACTTCTAACAATACCAATAGCACCTTCAGTGCTTGGCCCCTAATAATGATAAATTGCAGTTGTGTAAGTAAGTCAGGTGTTGATTCACTAACGGATCTGATCGATATAGTTCAGTAAAGGCTTTTTCAAACTGGAACCTAGTCTGCTAGACTAGTGTATCATACATGAATCACTAGAGACAGTCTTTTAACAGAAAACTTAAGAGAGAATTCCCCACAGATGAAAATCTGAAAATCTACTTGAAAATCTGAATGCTTACGTGTCTGTATCCTTTCCCCACAGTCCATCAAGCACCCTAACTACAACAGCTTCACCATCAACAACGACATCCTCCTGATCAAGCTGGCCACTCCAGCTCAGCTCAACACTCACGTGTCTCCTGTGTGTCTCGCTGAAACCAGCGACAACTTCCCTGGAGGCATGAAGTGTGTGACCTCTGGATGGGGCCTGACCAGATATAATGGTGAGTTTCAGAATCTTCTTTCATTTCAGCATTTTTATCAGTTTGCATGTATTTTCAAAACTTGAATGTATATTTTAGCATTTGTTCATATTCTCTGTCCTGATTTATTTTCTGTTGAAAGCTTTTAAAATTCTGCCAATCTACCCTTTCAGCTCCTGATACCCCTGCCCTGCTCCAGCAGGCTGCTCTGCCTCTGCTGACCAATGATGACTGCAAGCGTTTCTGGGGAACCAACATCACTGATCTGATGATCTGTGCTGGAGCCTCTGGTGCTTCTTCTTGCATGGTGAATTTCTATTGATTTTGCAGTTTACCTCTCTGTTTGTTCTTGAAGTTCTTGAAGGTTGTACAGATCTGACTAACTTTTGTGTGCTTTAGGGTGATTCTGGCGGTCCTCTGGTCTGTGAGAAGAATGGAGTCTGGACTCTGGTTGGTATCGTGTCTTGGGGAAGCAGCACCTGCTCAACCAGTTCACCTGGCGTGTACGCCCGTGTCACCAAACTCCGTGCCTGGGTTGACCAGACCATTGCTGCAAACTAAAGCAGCCATTAATACTGTCTTTAGTTTAATCAATAAAGATGTATGACACAACCTTCGGTTCAATTGGATATATTGAAAAATAGAGTGCAACATTTCTATACATGCAATTTATAGAAGTCTATGAATGCACATTTATCCACTACCAGTATACTTTACTAGTATTATTTTCCCCATTTTAGAATATCATGAAGTCATCAAAACACAATTGGAATTACTGGAATTACTATATGTAGTGATTACAAATGTTAAAAAGATCAAAACTGCATTATATTTTAGCTTCTTCAAAATAGCCACTATTTGCCATAAACATGCTCTGGTTATTTTCTAAACTGATTTTATGAGGTGTATCCTGGGATGCTTTTTCAAAATATTGAAAGTTTTGCAATACATGCAGGACGCTTGTTGCATTTTCATACATTATCCATTCTTTTCCTCGCTCACTAGGATGCAGCTTTCTGTTTGAGAAGCATTCAACACAGTATATACCATTAATCTGTTTTTTGTCTAGCTCTCAGTGTGTGCAGTTGCACACAGTTCAGTTTTGATGTCAGGTGGTTTGATACTATTCATAGCTTTTTAAGTTAATACTCTACAGATCTGCAATAATCAGTTTATTGGATGCACATATACAAAGTATTTGAGACAATATTTGAGTAGATTTTGACCTTAAAATTGCAATAAAAGTACAGCATAAAACTGCAGCAATACAAATCTGAAATGTTAAGAGCCAAGGTGCACTCTTTAGGCTTTGTGCAGCTTTAATATTAAAAAAGTATATATTTGGTCTATTGTAACAAACTTTTCTGTGGATAGTGTGAGGCTGTACATTTACACTATCCACATATACATTCTGGAGCTGTATAAACTGTAAATGTAAAGCCACAATTAGACATTTCAGAGTAGATTTAGTCTCTATGCATATTCGTGTTTGCAGGTGTTATCCATGCTACGGCAGTAACAGAAGGCCTTAAAGAAACGGCAGTAACACGTATCGCAGGGGTTGCAGCAGGGCAGGTGATGACCCAAGCAGGACTTCTGATGAGGGATGCAGCGGCTGGGGGAGCGAGTGCCTCTTCTCTGCAGCCGTACAGCTTTACCCAGATCCTGTAGTTATGGCAACAAAAATACTTTACTATCATAGAAGAAAATTTTCCAGCTTGGCGGAGTGGTGCTCAAATTTTCAGACCAGTTACCATGTCCAATTAAATCAAGATCCAAGTCACCACCTTAATTATTTGTGTATCACATTGCTGACATAGAAATGTGGGCTATGCCTTAGAGTTTAATACTTAAATGCAAAAAAAAAAAAAAACCTAGCCTGTTAAAATTGTAAACTGATCTTAGAAATAAAACACTAAAAAATAAAAACACAACAATTTAAATAAAATAAACATTTTCTAATTATTTGATCACAATCACACGAGGCATATGACCTGGAGGCACGTACCATAGGTGGTACACGTAAAGTCACTTGATATTAAATGCATATGCTAAATGTCAATTACTCACCTCATCATAGGATTCAAGGTCTTCTAGCAGTTTTTCTTCTGCTGAGTTTATTTCAAGGTGCTCCACTCCAAGTAGTAAGCCTATGATGTACAAAACACAAATGTACCAAACACACAAAAAAATACAAGCAGTCCATGATATGAATTTGAAATGTATTAATTTAATACTTAACGTAACATGGGAATTACACAATGAAGTACTGACAATTTTTACAAAAAATGTTGTGTACTACCATAATGAATAATGATCAAAATGTAAATGATCTGCATTTAAATATATTATCCAGATAAAATATTTGAAATGGATGAATTTTGAAATGATTAGATGAAATATTCTATACATAAAATGGTATCTTTGACAGTCAGTCAGTGATGATCCTCACACAAAACATTCTTCATTCATTCAACATCTGTGAAAATATTCAAAATTACTATTCAGGATTACCTCAATCATTGTACCGAATTTCATGATTTTCCTATCTACAGTTCATAGGGCTGCCATAGACTTCTAACAATACCAATAGCACCTTCAGTGCTTGGCCCCTAATAATGATAAATTGCAGTTGTGTAAGTAAGTCAGGTGTTGATTCACTAACGGATCTGATCGATATAGTTCAGTAAAGGCTTTTTCAAACTGGAACCTAGTCTGCTAGACTAGTGTATCATACATGAATCACTAGAGACAGTCTTTTAACAGAAAACTTAAGAGAGAATTCCCCACAGATGAAAATCTGAAAATCTACTTGAAAATCTGAATGCTTACGTGTCTGTATCCTTTCCCCACAGTCCATCAAGCACCCTAACTACAACAGCTTCACCATCAACAACGACATCCTCCTGATCAAGCTGGCCACTCCAGCTCAGCTCAACACTCACGTGTCTCCTGTGTGTCTCGCTGAAACCAGCGACAACTTCCCTGGAGGCATGAAGTGTGTGACCTCTGGATGGGGCCTGACCAGATATAATGGTGAGTTTCAGAATCTTCTTTCATTTCAGCATTTTTATCAGTTTGCATGTATTTTCAAAACTTGAATGTATATTTTAGCATTTGTTCATATTCTCTGTCCTGATTTATTTTCTGTTGAAAGCTTTTAAAATTCTGCCAATCTACCCTTTCAGCTCCTGATACCCCTGCCCTGCTCCAGCAGGCTGCTCTGCCTCTGCTGACCAATGATGACTGCATGCGTTTCTGGGGAACCAACATCACTGATCTGATGATCTGTGCTGGAGCCTCTGGTGTCTCCTCTTGCATGGTGAGCTGTCCCAAATAAATGTATGATCATTATTTAGTATTATTTAAAATTTCTTCTTACATGTATAGGTAAATGTTTTGATTACAACTCTCCTATGTGTGTTTTAGGGTGATTCTGGTGGTCCTCTGGTCTGTGAGAAGAATGGAGTCTGGACTCTGGTTGGTATCGTGTCTTGGGGAAGCAGCACCTGCTCCACTTCCACCCCAGCCGTGTACGCCCGTGTCACCAAACTCCGTGCCTGGGTTGACCAGACCATTGCTGCAAACTAAAGCAGCCATTAATACTGTCTTTAGTTTAATCAATAAAGATGTATGACACAACCTTCGGTTCAATTGGATATATTGAAAAATAGAGTGCAACATTTCTATACATGCAATTTATAGAAGTCTATGAATGCACATTTATCCACTACCAGTATACTTTACTAGTATTATTTTCCCCATTTTAGAATATCATGAAGTCATCAAAACACAATTGGAATTACTGGAATTACTATATGTAGTGATTACAAATGTTAAAAAGATCAAAACTGCATTATATTTTAGCTTCTTCAAAATAGCCACTATTTGCCATAAACATGCTCTGGTTATTTTCTAAACTGATTTTATGAGGTGTATCCTGGGATGCTTTTTCAAAATATTGAAAGTTTTGCAATACATGCAGGACGCTTGTTGCATTTTCATACATTATCCATTCTTTTCCTCGCTCACTAGGATGCAGCTTTCTGTTTGAGAAGCATTCAACACAGTATATACCATTAATCTGTTTTTTGTCTAGCTCTCAGTGTGTGCAGTTGCACACAGTTCAGTTTTGATGTCAGGTGGTTTGATACTATTCATAGCTTTTTAAGTTAATACTCTACAGATCTGCAATAATCAGTTTATTGGATGCACATATACAAAGTATTTGAGACAATATTTGAGTAGATTTTGACCTTAAAATTGCAATAAAAGTACAGCATAAAACTGCAGCAATACAAATCTGAAATGTTAAGAGCCAAGGTGCACTCTTTAGGCTTTGTGCAGCTTTAATATTAAAAAAGTATATATTTGGTCTATTGTAACAAACTTTTCTGTGGATAGTGTGAGGCTGTACATTTACACTATCCACATATACATTCTGGAGCTGTATAAACTGTAAATGTAAAGCCACAATTAGACATTTCAGAGTAGATTTAGTCTCTATGCATATTCGTGTTTGCAGGTGTTATCCATGCTACGGCAGTAACAGAAGGCCTTAAAGAAACGGCAGTAACACGTATCGCAGGGGTTGCAGCAGGGCAGGTGATGACCCAAGCAGGACTTCTGATGAGGGATGCAGCGGCTGGGGGAGCGAGTGCCTCTTCTCTGCAGCCGTACAGCTTTACCCAGATCCTGTAGTTATGGCAACAAAAATACTTTACTATCATAGAAGAAAATTTTCCAGCTTGGCGGAGTGGTGCTCAAATTTTCAGACCAGTTACCATGTCCAATTAAATCAAGATCCAAGTCACCACCTTAATTATTTGTGTATCACATTGCTGACATAGAAATGTGGGCTATGCCTTAGAGTTTAATACTTAAATGCAAAAAAAAAAAAAAACCTAGCCTGTTAAAATTGTAAACTGATCTTAGAAATAAAACACTAAAAAATAAAAACACAACAATTTAAATAAAATAAACATTTTCTAATTATTTGATCACAATCACACGAGGCATATGACCTGGAGGCACGTACCATAGGTGGTACACGTAAAGTCACTTGATATTAAATGCATATGCTAAATGTCAATTACTCACCTCATCATAGGATTCAAGGTCTTCTAGCAGTTTTTCTTCTGCTGAGTTTATTTCAAGGTGCTCCACTCCAAGTAGTAAGCCTATGATGTACAAAACACAAATGTACCAAACACACAAAAAAATACAAGCAGTCCATGATATGAATTTGAAATGTATTAATTTAATACTTAACGTAACATGGGAATTACACAATGAAGTACTGACAATTTTTACAAAAAATGTTGTGTACTACCATAATGAATAATGATCAAAATGTAAATGATCTGCATTTAAATATATTATCCAGATAAAATATTTGAAATGGATGAATTTTGAAATGATTAGATGAAATATTAAATTAACTTGAAGTTGTTAAATAAATAAACAAACATTTTATTATTCAAATAATAATAATGATTATGTATTTAAATTAAGAGTTTGGACTAGTCATTCTTTATTATTACCATTTTCACATTTTAGAA